CTTACTAATATCCTGTCCGGTCACTAAACTCCCACTGTACATATCTATGTACCTATCGGGTATTTATGTCGCTGTTATGAATCGATTTCGGGGATACTGCGCAATTATCCTGGATGTTGACTGGTCGACATATATAGATTCATTATATCACTAAAGACCATACATATTATAGAACCCGGTAATCACACAACAATGTAGCTCACCTGAATATGTGAATGAGTCAGTACTGGTTATATATCACGACAACGGAACCCTTGGATGCAACTGGGGTTGTATCTACCAGAGCAATCGAGCTTGTGTCCATCTGGGCCCGGCTACCAGGACTCACACCAGAAACTTCAACTCATCTAGCTCCCTTAATAAAATAGCTATGTGAGCTACCAGACTGATGATTTCCAGTTTCCCCAACATTTCTTGGTATGCAGTGTAGGGAAATTAATAACCGACAAACAGTGATACTAACGGGGGTCTTGACAGTATACAGACAGGCCAACGAATTAGGAAGAGTTTAGTAACATGCACAATGAAGTTTCAAGTATGTGGATGTAGTATTATCTTAGAAACTGACAATGACCTGCTGAATGATATCTCTGCCCTTTGACCAACCTTGAACGAATTCTCATGTTAGCAAGACCTACTCTTTCCTTAATTCTTCCTCTTTACATCTTGGTTTCATTACAGTAATTATAAACCTTACAATAACGAGCTAAAGGCTTTCCAATTTCACACTAAGTTGTGAAGTGTATTTTACCGCAAACATCAATATTAACATCATTGATACACAAATAAATATTAACATAATATATTCTATTTCGAGAACCCTAATCAAATATCCAACTTCTAATAAATGATAGTCTTTGAATCTGGTCAAATGACAGGTTTCTTTTTGAGAGGCACTTTAGAAGTTGTATAGATGAATTGCAATAAAGAAGTTGACTATCCATAGAACTTTGTTTTCCTTCAAATGACAGGTTATCAATACTTCACCAGTTATTTTTCTTGATGTGCTTCTCTTCATTAGCACACATTTCAAGACATATGGATTCCTATACATACAACGACTGTTTAATCAGATCAGGGTCATGCAACCGTCAGATAGGAGGAACATGAGGTGTGAAGGGCATTAAGAAAGCTACACTCCAATGAGCGCCACATCGGAAACTGTGTCCAATGAGGAAGAGAACCGTTTGTACAACGGGAAAGCATGAACATATTCTGAGAAGTGGACGCTGGTCTCCATTGGTTTCATCAGGTTTTGCTATTTTCAACGTTTACCAGCAGCTAATGCCGTAGATGTCGGTGCCTGTCAATGTTAGAATTGATCACGCCTGTAACTAAACCACGCCTCTCCAAACAATCACCTTAACAAGTATCAGCCTCATTAAGCGTTTGATCCAGTTGCTACTTGAAAACAATCTTAGTTTCCATACACAACTTTTGACGAGAATGTGTCTGACATTGAACAAAAGGGACCAAGGTCCAACATATTCTGTAATTTCCAAGAGGGGAAATCTCGAGTGTTTGGTCGAATGGACCAACAGCAAAGCTGGGCAAACTTTTGATGTATAATATATTCCAATCTGTGTTGTGTTTTCTTCTCCCTAACATGAATGAGAGAAATATATTTTAGATTCGCACTGACAAGAATGTGAAAAGCATGTTTTATCATATAAAAATTATAGGTCTTCCTTCTCATTTATTAGGGTGCTATATAACCTTGAATTGTTTGTTGTGTTTTTAAAGTATTTCTGATTGTAAGTAGGTGTGTATGCGAGTGAAAGTGGGCGCTTAAGTGGGCGTGGCTTGGTAGATGAATTTTTTGCACAGTTATACAAACAGACATGCATGATATTTAAATCTAAAAATGACACAGTAATACAAAATATGGAATGAGTTATAAGCAAATAAGACATGTGCCATCTGTTTAGGTTTACGGGAGGTAATAATACAATATACACGTGTACACAGCAGCAACACAACTCTTTTGATAATCATAAGATATATCTCCAATAGATGCTGAAATGATTGTATGACTGCGACTTCATCAGTCACTAGCGAATTTAGATAATACAAGGTGTTCGCGAAGAATTAACGTGCCCAACAGAGACAGCCGTCTGAAGGACACTCTGTTGTTCACCTGGAGAAACACGAGAACATATGCCCCTTGTCCAAATATGGAATTGCATCGGACATCATTTGGTCACAGATGCGTCCAGTTTCGAATGGCCTCCCCATGTGTATCATAAAAAGCTTTGAAAGCTTTGATAAAACTACCTTTGAGCAAGAGTCGTATGACGATCTTTGAATTTAAACGTTGTGTGAATTTTGCTAGAAGTCACATTACTTATATTTGGATGCCTTCAAGTTGGGAATTATCTTTGAATTGTTATGGGATATATTGTCCAAATTGTGTAGATTGATGCTCATGCTGTCGATCACTGGGTTGTCTGGTCCATACTCGATTATTTACAAACGCCGGTTTAAAACTAAACTCACTCTACCACTATGGAATGTATTGCAATGATGTAAACATATATATGAATGACTATTTCATATGTTGTGTTTCCTTTTATGTTACAGGGAAAAACTGCTCGTGTATCCTGAAAACAAACTCGGTTCATTATGTCAAACGGGTTAATGAATAAATATTCCATAAATACACCGGAGAAGATCAGGAAGAGAATTGGTCTTCAACAACAACTAATGTTTGTCTTAGGAGGCGACTAACGGATTCGGGACGTCCCCCACGAGGAGTTGTTTGATGCATGTCATCGTATCTCGAGATAGATGCACATGGTGCTAATATCTGGATTGTCTAAATCAAACTATTTACAGACAGCCCTCATAAGATGGGAATAATTAAAGAAAGTTAAAGAAAGACACAAATAAAAACAAAACAAGTTTTTCTTTTGAAGAACAATAGGACTGTTGCTTGGTGAAAGTCTCCTGACAGTGTTAGTAGTGCTTGATGTGATGTTACGGCATTATGTGATATGACTGAAAGCAACAAGATTGGCAAAGGGAAAGTATTGTAACTCAAAACAAGTCTAAAGTTGAATTCGTATATTTACTAAGCATAAAAAAACCCCGTTAGTTTGGAATTTCCCTTCGCAGAAACGGATAACTGTAAACTCATTGTATATTTTTGACAACATCTCCAACTTTACCTGAGCAAAGACTTTCCTTCCCAAACTCAGAATGGAACCCAGAAAATGGTCTCTAAAACGCAACCTGATCTCGGAGATGGTACGGTGTTCTCCATGTTTTTCATGCTGCACGTGCTGTTCACAAGGACCAGCCCTATAAAATGCACCCCCAAACCTGGTTGAAACATTCACATTACAACGTCAGCAGGATGCCACGACTCACGATAGCTCAGAGGAACCGGGCGCTAGGAAGACTTGAAGCTGACCACGCTGCACAAGCCGCTGCCAATCACTTGCAGGTCAACGTTCGGAGAATCTACAGGCTGCAGCAACGTTTCCAGGCCACCAACACCACAAATGATCACCCCCGTACTGGCAGACCAAGGGTGACCACAGGACGACAAGACCGCCATGTTGTGCGACAGCATGTACAGAATCCCTTCATGCAGGCATCCGAAACAGCACGCCAGACAGTAGGAACACAAGGAAGACCATTCAGTACTGATACAGTACGCCGATTTCTTAACAGCGGGAACCTCCATTGCCGTAGACCTTACCGTGGACCTATCCTCACCCCTCGTCATCGGCGTGAACGTCTACAGTTTGCCCTACAACACCAAATCTGGCGATACAGGCAATGGAGAACTGTTCTGTTCACAGATGAGAGTAGGTACTGCGTATCAACTGCCGATGGCAGAACAAGAATATGGCAACGACGTGGCCAGTATTCCTCAGACCAATGTATTATGGAAAGAGACTCATGGGGAGGTGCAAGCATCATGGTATGGGGTCCTGTGGTGTTCCAGAACCTTGGTCCAGGGAGAGGAGGCGGCATCACAGCGGTGCGTTACATCGACCAAGCTCCCAGACCCCACGTCATACCACATTTCGCACGTCACCGGAACAACATTTTCCAGCATGATAACGACCGGGCCCATACTGCCAGAGCTACACGGGACTTCCTACAGCAGAACGGTGTCAACGTTATGCAGTGGCCAGCCCTTAGTCCTGATTTAAACCATTGGAACATCTTTGGGATGAATTTCAAAGGAGACTGAATAATGGCAAACCAAGACCCAACACAGCCGATTTATTGCGCCAGGCCTTTCTCAGAGTGTGGTTCCAGGTGCCAATGGCCTTCATCAATCGACTGGTGCACTCCATGCATAGACGCTGTGCTGCAGTTATTGCCGCTCGTGGTGCTCACACTAGATACTGAAGTCAAGAGTCTGAATGGACTGCAAACGTTCACGTAATGTCTTGGAATTGTGCTGAGTTATTCATTGATGTGTCAAGATATTGTACACAAAAAATGTTTTTGATCCGCTTATTATCTCCATTTCTGTAATGATTTGATTACAGTGCCTATCTGATTTTGAATTCGTACTGACGTTTTTTGCTGCTGAGTATAATATGTATTCCTACTAAGGGACGTGATGATGACATATATATGTAAATAATAAACATTAGAACAAAGACTGTGGTGTACAAAACGTCCAAAAAGCCTCCAGTCCAGGGCGTGCCGTGTATGGCGAGGTCGAAGTGCGTCTTGCCAATGTCAACCTGAGACATCATTTGATCTGTGTGAGGGCATCACATTACTGACGAAACCCACTCCATGTTGTGAAAAGAGACTTCGTGGACAGTATCGGGACAGCAAAGCGACACCGTTTGTTATATCTTTTGCACGGCACATGAGTCGACGTTTTGCTTTTCAGGACGACTATGTCCGTGTCCACCGTACACAAATGCAGTGCCCACCAACAGTAACAGAACATCCATAAAATGGGACCAGATGTCCCCCTTACAAAACATGTCTGGAACCTGATGGGGAGGCGTGTGCTTCAACGTAATATGACGCAGACAACGTTGGATGAGCTGGGTCAGGCGCTGCAAGAGGAGTGGAACAGACTACCACAAATCGTCATTGTGAGACTCATATCCCGCTTCGAGTGAATGGAAATTTGACAATCGTGGGGGTATAATTCGCTCATGACAGAACCTCCCCAAAAACAACAAAAAACCCCCAAACCAGCAACATAACAAAAACAAAACAAACAAATCAAAAAATATAAATAAAACGGAAACCAAAAAAAGAACAACAACTCAAACAAAAACATAATAAAATCAATAATAATAATCTGACAATTCCCGTCATCACCTATCGTTCTTCAACATCGTTGGCGGCAAATGATGCCAAATAAAAGATTGTAGGGAACCATTATGAGGGCTCTATTAGTTGACACTGTTGGCTGGACTGGAGGGACCTTGATGGGCTGTACTCATCAAACACAATGTTATCTAAGGCGCTGTTAAGCAAGAGGCAAGCTCTTGTCGTCACTCTTTCATTTACATGAATCCAGAGTTTTGAACCGAGGGATGGTGAGTTATGGGCAGAGTTGGGCGTTCGTGTTGTAGTATTTTGCAATCGTGGCAGTTTATTGATGTTCTCTTTGGATATTCCCTTGAGCACGCTGTAACAATAGTCAATTCTAGAATTAGAGATCTGACGATTGCACACAAGCCAATAAAAGATTGCTTAAGCAGGTATACGAAAATGATTATTTTCTAGCCCTGACGTTTAGAAATATGCTATTGAAGCTTTTATTACTTTGTTCAAACTTTCCAGTTAAAAACAATTGCATGTTTTGAAGCAATTATAAAGAAATTTAACCTTATTTCTGCTCGTATTGATGTCCGCCCAGAATATTAAATAGCCAATTACAGGACCATTGTCGGTTACAAAGCAAAGTAAAGTTGACGTTACTGCATCCGTAAAATTCACATAGCGCTGGTCTGAGTGAGTTAGTGAGCTAAATTTTAACGTCACCTTGGCAATATCTCAGCCATAGAGTGACGAGAAAGGTTGTGCATAAACAATAAATACGAGTTATGAAAGAACCAGCCATCGAAAGACTAAAATAACTAGCGTATCACAGATGGTGTTAAACAGCATGTAAATCTAAAGCTATTTTATTTACGTCATGATGACGTCGTGAGTTGATTTCGGGGATGGAAAGTACATGTACACAAGTACCCCTGGGCCGTTCTTTCCTTTGGCTGTCTGATGTCTGTCAGTTCTGCTTAACGTTGTACCAGGTTTCCGGGAGCAACGAAAAGTTCCATCAATGTGGGCATGGATGTTTCCCATCTGTATCATAGCCAGGATCAACTCGGGTTGTTCGAGTATCAGTCGCAGCATTTCAGTTTATTTATATAGTTTAATTGCACATGTAGTCCCGGATGCCAAAACTGCACGTGTTTGCACTTTTTCCCATTTTCAGCAAAGAAACTCGTGTTCCTGTACTTTCTGCATAAACCATTTTGATGTGTTTTGGAATGAATTAGTTTGAACTTATGTTTGTAAATTTATTGCAATTTCATTTTTACAATGGTAAAGTTTCAATTCCATTATTAAGGTTTAAAGTTTGTTTGTCCTTCAGTTGGTATATTTGTATTTGTGTTTGATATTGGAGTAGCAGTAGCGATTGTCCCGTGTCATATTATCGTGCTTGTCAGTGGAGTTGGGGACAGTAAATGAGTGAAACTCCCCTAAAATATCTAGTGATGGAGAAGGCAATTTGCCCTGGATGTATGCTTTTGAGGCACACCCCTAGAGTTATGTTGCCGAGCACTACGTTTCATGATGTGACAGTTCCTTAGTTAAAGGTATGTTGGGAGTGTATTTGTAAACTTACTTGTGTCTTATATACTTGGCAGGTGTGGATGTAATATTAATAATGAAAACACCAAATTCATTCAGGGTTCCAGCATAGTTCAGGATTCTAGAACTGAATTCGATGCTCTTCAAGATAACCCAGAAGGACAAATTCTGGTTATTCATGAGTTCACTGACTTATGTTACAAGGTCTGTTAATGTTTGCTGCTTACTTACTTCACCCATTGTATTGTTGTGCGCTTTTTGAATTGCCTTTAAATTAACAACCTTATACTTTGTTGATTACTCTTTGATCGTGTGTGGTCATTTACTTGTTTCACTATTTAGTTTTGTAAGAAAATTTCCTTCGTTAACATTGACGTTACAGTTTCTTAATCGTCTCCCAAAAATGTAAATTTAAAAATGAACAACCAAACAACCAAACCAAACCATTTACTGAATGGTGAAAGAAAATGTACTGGATGTATAGCATTCAGTTTCGATGTCGTAAAACCTGAAAGAGACTGATAAAAAACAAAACAAATCCAGCGTTTTCATAACAACTCGGTGCTTCTTTTCGCTAATATGAAATTAATTGGTCGGAAATTCTCAAAGTTGCTATATGCACAATCCCTATGTAAGTACGTGGCGGCGAAATGCGCAGATATCTCTCGATAAAAGGTGTTGGAGCGGAAGTGAAGGACAGCTACACGATGTCTTCCTGACGCCCCGATCTTTGGGACCCCTGTTAAAATGGCCCTGTCGAGACCTATGCTGACAATGAATATATAAGTGTTACCCGAAATATAACATATGTTACATGGTGCTGACAATCCAAGGATGTTACTGTTGATGTGTGCAAACGGGACATTTAATATATTTAGTAGATGCCTCTGGAAATGCATGTTAATAAAATAAAAAATAAAAATAAAAATAAAACCCAACCAAAAAAACAAACATCAAAACCAACACAACAAAAACCCGAGATCAATATTCAACCCCTTCTCCTGATAGTTAAACGGTTTGTCCCCTGATGAAGCAGTCATTGTATTTTTAATGGAATACGTCTTAAAATAATTCTCTTTCATGGGCAAAGATGTGAATGTGTCAGGAACCATCCTTTATCCTCTTCTTATTATTCATTTCCTATACTTCAAGCAACAATATTTGCTTTGTACTTGGTCTAATAGGTCCCGTTGCTTAATTAGCTTTCCTAATGGGCTGTCCTTATTTCTGTCAAAACCCACATATTGATCCCAACAATATGGTGTGGGTGAAATCGCCAGCCCATCAGTGTAAGAAGAACTTAACAGCCAACAGAAGTCCATTTCACTGTTGTCACTGTATTTGCTGTATGCGCTCAACGCCAGAGACTATAAGGCCTGGTTTCTCCCACATTGGATTTCATTGCACTGACTAGATACTACAAGCTCCAGTTCTACTAGCTTGACGAACACGCCGACTCTGGCAATGAGACGTAAGCTGCCTTTGCACGAGATAGTGACAGTACAGGGACTATCTCAATTATGTGACGCCAATTCCAATATCCCCAGACGGGTAATCTGGTTTCTCATCTTTTGTGGTGGACTAGGTTTCACTACTTTCAACATCTACCAGCAAATATCTCTATATCTGTCTGTCCCTGTTAACGTGAATGTGGATCAAATCCTTGACAACACCCTTCTGTTTCCAACCATAACAATATGTAATAACAACTTTGCAAAGAGTTCACAGGTCGCAAACTTTGGAATGGACCATGTACTTACAGTTGTGTTCCCATACACTGATTTTAAAGAACATACACCAAATATTTGCTTAAGTCAGCTGAACGTGTCTAAGGTATTTCCCGGTGGACAACTATCGACAGATATTGGGCACGCCACCGAAGAAGCTATTCTTAAGGTAAGTAGAACGGTTAACTTGTGCAAATAGAGAAATAGTATGAAGGGTTTTAAGGCGGTCATACATTGGAATATAATTTATATATTTACTTATACATACATCTAATGCTGACAATATTTGTTGGGCAAGAAGTTGAGAAAATACTGAAAACATTTACGACAGATGTATGAATGCAATCAGTATCAAACATTAGTCTTTACAACGTACCTCTCAGTAATCTTCGTCCATGGGAATGGTGAAAAAGGTGGAAATACAGTACGGAACTATCAAGACGCTTCAACCAGACATAATCTCTTCTGGACAGAATTTAAATATCGGTGACTGTCAGTATACTGGCTAATATTTGGTTAGGAGATATGTTGCATGTTATCCCGGACAGAGCTTGTACTCTGTTATCTCATTTTTGACTGAACTCAAAACTGTTATCCAGGAAAGTGCACCATCTGTTTTAGATTAGCCTTCCTATTGTGCTTGCTGATAAGGTATATGCATCTCCCCTAATTTCACCTATATTACACCCTGATGTGTCAGCACTATACCCGTGACCTTTACCAAATGGAAAGTAAGACCTTCTTCCCTCAGAACTGTCAAACCACCCAATGCCGATAAGGCATGATGAGCAGAAATATCGTGCAGAGCCTCTTCAAATTCAAAGTAGTTTAATTTGAACCAAGATTGGCATCACACTGTTTCACTTTTGAACAAATGTCAGACATACTGTCAATTTAAGACAATGTTGCAAGTTGAAAGATATCTATCCTTAGATATTCCGTGGTATTACAAACATGTTTTAAGCCAATTCAGATGTAATAACTTCAAACTTGCAACTGAAACAGGGAGGCATGATAATACACTGTACTGTAATAGGCTTTGCTTATATCGTCATAGCAAAGGCATGTCATTAGTTGAAGATGAATACCACTTATTGATGGTTTGTCAACCCTATAAAGATGCAATTAAATGTTTCCACCATACCTATATGAGTAACCCGTGTAGGGAGAGTTTTGTAAGACTTATGTCATGTAAGGATGAAAATGTTTTGATAAATATTGCTAAGTTTCTGATAAAGGTTCGTAAAATTAGAAATACATAAATTTCAATCTACATTCTACACACTAAGATCCATATTTTATTTCTTAGAAGGATATATTATGCCTATACTTTGTGCAAAAATGTCTGACATTTACAAAGCAGAATTATATGATTGTGACAACATACTGTCACTTTAAGACAATGGTGCAATTGAAAGATATTTTTCCTTAGATATATTCTACATATCATAAACATGTTTTAAGCCAGTCCAGATAGAATAACTTCCAACTGTAACGGGGAAGCATACTACACTGTACTGTAATAGCAAAGCATATCA